GTGCCTCCAACGACTCCGGAGCCCACATGCAGGACAGACGAATGAAACAGGCTCCTTCAGCACCCATGCCTGATGATCGTTTTCTTTTTCATTGTTTTGCCGATCGGCACTGGCCCTCGCACCCCCCCTCCCCCCTCCCCCCTGGAGTAGATCTTCGCTGTTTTTGGCACCTGTTTCAAGCAGGTGGGGCCTGCCCCGCAGAACGTACTGCTGCAATCAGTGGTACTAAGCAGAGGTCCAGAGCCAGACCCCCCCCCTTCCCCCCCTTCCGCCCAATGTCGAAACGCCGGATAAGAAACGCTCACATGCCTGCCTTCTCCTGCTTGGTTTGCAGCGACCGAGACTCCACGATGCTTGCACATGCTGCCGCGCGCCGTCGCTTCCAGGCCGGGAAGGACGTCTCGATGTCGAGCAATGTCCAGGCTCCATGCAACACAGCAGCAATTCGACGGGCACTCTCCACTGTACACAGCCACGCCTCTTGCCTCTCTTGCGCATGGCCCAGAGCGTCGCCTGGTAGTTCCGTTCAGCAAGCTGTGCGAGGTAATCGCATCTATCTTGAAGAGGGGGAGCCGTCTCCGCGCGTTGTGCAGCCAGAGCGTCGTGATCGACGACCATGGCCGACATGCCGCCCTCCTCGCTCGGCTGACGCGGGTGCCGTGCAGTACTGTCTCCGTGTAGAGCCCTGAGCCCGCTCGGCCAGCAAGGACGCCAGCTGGTGCTGCTCGAGAGCGTGTCCGTGCCTCGCTGCCTCCAGAAGGTCCGCCTCGAGTGAGGCACGTCGTCCTGGCGAGCCCGGCTGCGTAGCTGCTTCGTCAGCTTCTTCAGCCTGTCCAGCTCGCCGTCGGAGATCGGTCGGCTCGCCATTTTGATTCACCGACGATCGGGGCGAACGTTCGGCGACCTTCTCCCTCTCCTGTGCGCGTTAAGCAACGAAGCTGCGCCTCTCAGCCTTCAACCTCGCCTCAGCAGGAGTGTGTCGTGCAGGTGGATGTCGACGAAACAACTCCTGCCCAACATTATCTATCAACTTCACCGTGAGCTGCCAGTGCCCATCAGCACATGGTTCTTCTCGAAGTCGTTCAACAATTGCTTTGTGCGCCCGAAAGGCCTCCTCTGAACGCAGCAAGAAAGGCTGGCGCCCCGCCTCCGCTTGCAGCGCCTCCGAGAGAAGCTGGAGGTCCCAAGTCAGGTTGTTCGTCGCCTCCGTGCCGTCATTCACCTCCAACAAGTGGTCCAGTACCAACAGCAGTGGAATTTTGTCGCGGGGACGGCGATCAGAAATCAATTGTAGCCTCCTCCCGAGGTAGAAGCCCATCTTGCAATCCAAGACGTTCCCCAGCGCAGCTTGCGGCAGAATCCAGGGATCAATCGAGCTGCGCCTTTTTTGGGTTCCCGAAGAACGTGGGGCCGCCCTTGCGCGTCTACGTGGGTCTCGTGCTCGAGCTCTCGATATTCGAGGCGATCCACGAGTGTGTCGCCTTCACGGCCGCCTCCTGTACTGCGATGCGCCAACCCGTGGCGCTTCCAGGAGAAGGGTAGCCCACGACCAGCACGATGTCGACTTTACCAGTCTGTCAACCTCATCGCACCAGCACGACCCTGTATCGTCTTGGGCGGCACGAAGATGTCCTACGTGTCCTTCAGGCGCAGCTGCTTTCCCACGATGGTGGAGCACCTCGCAGACTTGTTCGTCCACGCCGACGGCGTCCACCCGAAGTTCACCGCCGAGCACCCGCCCCCCCCCGTGCCTCCGGCTTGTGCTGTCTGTTCGCCGGGCTCCTGCTGCGCGTGCCAGGCACGGGAATGGTGTCGGCGCCCCGTTCGCGCGCCACTTCTTCGTGGCAGCGTTCCGCCGCCATCGAGAGCGGGCTGCAGAGGAGCAGGCGGAGAGGACCCAGCACTCGCATGCCCCAGCCTCTCGCCGCGAGCCCGCGAGCTCACTGCGCCCCCGCTGGGCGCCTCAGCGGCAGCTCGCACCCGCCGTCGCAGCACTGCCCGCGGTGCGCAGTCGCGGCTCTGGAATGTGGCTAGCGCCCAGACGGCGCTATCATGATGATGCTGATACTGATGACGCTGGTGCTGCTGCTGCTGATGCTGATGATGATGACGATGACCATGATGCTGATGCTGATGCTGATGATGATGCTGATGTTGATGCTGATGCTGATGCTGATGATGAGGAGGAGGAGGAGGATTATGCTGATGATGCTGATGATGCTGATGCTGCTGCTGATGATGCTGTTGATGATGACGATGAGGATGAGGAGAAGGAGGAGGAGGAGGAGGAGGAGGAGGAGGGTGGGTGGGGAGGAAGAGGAGGAGGAGGAGGAGGAACCATCATTATCAACCGTATTCTGTATTCTGCGGACGACTCGTTGCGTCGCTTTTGGGGAGCCGTCCACAACGGCTCCCACGACGGCATTTGAAGAGCCGAGGCAACCCATGCACAAATTCGTGAAGCCCAGATGGCAAGGGGCCTGCGAGCTGGGAGGATGAGGATGAGGTTGAGGATGATGACGATGACGATGACAATGACGACGACGACGGCGGCGGCGACGACGAGGACGGCGACGTTTTGCTGAGATCTCAGTTCTGAATAGTAACCATCGAAGACGCCTACGGCGAATCACCGCTGCCCTTGGAACCGCCCGCGTGGCCGAGCGTTGTGGAAAGAGCTCTGCCAAGCTATCTGACCATGTGTTTCCCCAGCCGTTGTGGAAACCCTTCTGGGAACACATGGGGGAGGATTGCGGGGACGATCAGGAGGAAAAGGAGGAGAAGGAGGAACAGGAAGGGACATCTTGGGAGCCTCTGGGGGCACTCTTGGGGCCTCCTGGGAGCTTCCTGGGAGCCTCTTGGAGGCATCTTGGGGGCCTCCTTGGGCCTCCTGGGGGCCTTTGGGGTCTTTTCGGGGGCTTCTTGGCCCGTCTTAGGGCGTTCGTGACCCGTCTGACGCCGTCGGAAGCCGTCTTGGGGGTCTCTCTTGGCCGACTTGGGGCTCTCTTGGGGTGCTCCACGGCCGTCTTGGAGGCCATCTTTGGCGCCTTGGGGGCCTCTTGGACCGTCTTGGCCTGTTGGGGCCGTCTTGGGGGCCTCTTGGGCCGTTATGGGGCCATCTTGAATGCCTCTCGGGCGATCTTGGAGCGACCTTGAAGGCCTCTTGGGCCGTCTTGGGCCGTCGGAAGGCCGAAACAAAGCAAATACTAACATCCCTCAAACACCAAGGACATCAGTTGTTTTGGTCTCTTCGGGCCTTCCTGGAGAACCTCTCTTGGCGGCGTCTTGGGTCGTCTGGGAGAACGCGTGGGAGCCTGTCTTGGGTCGTCTTGGGCCATCTTGAGGCTATCTTAGGCCGTCTCGGGTGCATCTTGGGCCGTCTTGGAGGCATCATGGGGCAATTTTAGGCGTCTTGGAGGCCATCGTGGCCGTCTTGGGATTGTTTTGTCGGCGAATTCGGCGCCTTCTGCGTGGCCAGCGGGATTGGCCGAAGCTCCAGGGGGAGCTCTTTTGAAATACCACCCAAACCAAACCGTGTAGGGTCCAGCACTCGGGCGGAGGAGGAGGAGGAGGAGGAGGAGGAGGAGGAGGAGGAGGAGGAGGAGGAGGAGGAGGAGGAGACCCCTGTGGCAAGCCAACAGGGGGCGGCGGATCTAGGAGCTTTCGGCTCATTCCGCCACCGCGCCAGGGTTGTGGGTCGGAGTTCTCAAGGATGCTTCTTCGGGTGTCGTCGGGGCGCTGTCGGGGGCCTCTTGGGAGCAGTTTTGTGGCCTCTTGGGGGCCTCTCGGGAGCCTCTTGGGGGCCTCTTGGGGGCCTCTTGGGAGCCTTTTGGGGCCTCCGGGGCGCCCCTCGAGGCCGAGGGCTCGAAATTGCTTGTTCGGGTCCCCCATATGGGCCCCCTCGTGGGGTCGTCTTTGGGCCCTCTTGGGCCGTCCTGAGCTCCTCTCGAGCTGTCGTGGGGCCCTTTTGGGCCGTCTTGGGGCCCTCTTGGGCGCTTCTGGGGCCGTCTGGGGGCGATCTTGGGGGCCTCGTGGGCCGTCTTGGAGCGTCGGAAAGCAGAACAGGCGAGAAGGCCTGAACCTTCAAAGACCCAAGGAAAATCACAGATGTTTGCCTCTTGGGTCCCTCTTGGGACGCCTCTTGGAACACTGTTAGGACGTCCTCGGGGCCTCTTGGGCCGAGTTGAGACCATCTTGGGCGCATAGTGGCACTCTTCGGCCTTCTCTCAAGCATCTTCGGCCACTTGGGCGCTTTTGGGCCCATGTTTGGCCGGCTGCGCTACTGCAGGACGCGCGCGACACGCCCATGGAATCCCAGGGAATCCCCGGAAATCCCAGAGGATCCTTTGGAATCCCCGAAATCTTAGGGAATACCAGGGAATTCCAGGGAATTCTGGGAAATGCTTGGAAATCATTGTGAAACCGGTGGCCTGGTCCTTTGACTTTTTGGAGTCATGCAATGATGAGTTTGGGCTGCGTGAGCCTTGGGGCACTCCACTGCGTGCTGCAGGCACGGTGGCGGATTGTCGATCCCCCCTCTGGCGCCCATTGCGTGCTTCAACTGAAGTGCCCCTCCTTGAGCTCACGCCTTGTTTTTTACAAGGGACAGCCTTGGGGCTCAGATTGGGTTCTTGGCCCCCGAACTACAGCAACAACGGCATCCGCCTGACAAGTCTACACCATTTCGTAGACCTGGCTCTCTCTCTCGCGGGTTCTCCTTACAGTTTGTCCAGCGTTCGCGCTCTCGCGTGAGGCTTCTTTTCAATGTGTGGAGACGCCGCGTGTTCGACACTTACAAATCACGCTTTCGTTTTGGAAGTTTTAACGGTTCACTTTACTTAGGAATCGCACTATCGCTAGAGACTGCCTCGCGATTCACATGGACTGACGCTTCAGCGACCCGCCCGCTCGACCTGGCCGTCTGTGCTCGCCCGCCCGACCCGCCCGTCAGGCTGTGCCGTTTGTGTTCCTGCTCCTCAGCCCCCTCTCTCGTGCTCCACCCTTCCCGTCTTTCTCCCTACCCTACCCCTTCTTTGCTCCATCCATGCTTCCCTATCCTTCTCATCTCTTGCTCCTACCTTACCCCTACCCTACCCTACCCTACCCTATCCTTCTCATCCGTGCTCCATCCTTCTCACCTTTCTCCCTACCTCTCGTCTCTTCTCTCCTCCTTCCTCTCCCGTGCTTCTGGGGCTGCGCCAGGTACACGCGGCAGGTAAAGATGAACCTCCAAGGGGGGGAACGATCAAAGTCGAAGAGGTCGGGCACTTAGTGGGCCCTGGAAATGACAGGGCCGTGTTTTTACCGGTTCCGTTTTGCCGTTTTGGTTGCCGGTTCCGACGCCGTTTTTTTACCGGTTCCGACGCCGTTGTTTTACCGGTTCTGTCGCCGTTCTTTTACGGGTTCCCGCTCCGGTTCCACTCCTGGAGCCGTTTTTGTCGCCGTTTCGGGTCGCCGTTTTTTTACCGTTTCCATTTTCAAGGGACACTTTTTCGGAAACGGTGAAAAAACGGCCCTGCCGTTTCCGGGGCCCACTAAGGGTGGTCATCGATGGTTTGGGACGTACATGTTGAGCGACACGCGAGCGTATGACAGCGAACAGTCTTAAAGTGGTTGTTGCATGCTCATGTCTAGAGAATTGCATGTGTTGATCCCCCCTTCCCGGTGCTCCTTGTGTGTTGGGGATTTGCGCTCTCGCGCGGGACCTCCTCACACTTTATCCAGGTATCGCGCTCCCGCGTGGCACTTCCTCGCAATTCATGGGGACGCCGCGCCTTCGACTCTTGAAACACGCTCTGGCTTTGGACTTCTTAAGGATTTACCTGGGCATCGCGCTACTTCTTGAGATTTCCTCGCGATTCATGTTGGATTGGCGCTTCTGCGACTCGCTGGCTCACCCGTGGCCGGCTGGGCCCGCCCCGCCCGTTTAGGGTCCGCCCGCCCGATTTGCCCGTCAGGGTGTGTCGCTTTTACTCCTGCTCCCAAGCCTCCTTCTGCAAATTGCGGGCAATATTTCTGTCCAGATCCACTGCAGTACGGAGTTTCGGGCTTCCTTCCCCAGAAACCCAAGGCGCACTGGATATAGATAAGTTATCCCCCTAGGGGCTCAAATTTTATCAATATCCAGTGCGCCTCAACCTTGTGGCGCTCCTTTCATGAAAGCCCCAAACGCACTGGATATGTTTATACACGCACGCATATATATATATATATATATATATATATATATAGATGGCCCGCACACACTTCTCGTGCTCAATCCGTCTCCCTCCCCCTGTCTCTTCCCTCCTCCCTCACCTTCCTCTGTTTTTGGGGCTGTGCCATCTACACGTGGCAGGTCAGTAAGGTATACCCTCAAGTGGGGTACGATCGAAGACGAAGAGGGCGGGTACCGAGGGTTTGGGTTATACGTGTTGCGTGACACGCGAGCATCTGAAAGCGAATATTCATTGCCCCGCACTTCGGTGACCATTCTGTGTTTTTCAATCAAAGTGCTCCTCCTGGGGCTCGCACCTTGTTTGTATATGAGGGAATATCTGGGGTCACCGAACTGAGCCCCTGGCCGCTTGTTTACAACAACAACGGCTCCCGCCGGATACTTCCTTACAGTGTATTGCATCGCTTCGCTCATTCCGCCGGCCCATATTGCCTCGCCGCTCGGGGGCCGTGTTGGGTTCTCTTTGGGGCCTCTGGGAGGCTGTTTTGAGGTCTCCTCGGGGCCGTGTTGGGGCCGTGTTGGGGCCTCCTGGGGCCTCTTGGGGGCCTCTTGGGCCTGAAGGCTGGACTTTTCGGTTCCTGGTCCCCGTCCTGGGCCTCTCTTGGGGCCGTTTTGGGGCCATCTTGGGCCATCTTGGGCGCCTCTTGGGCTGTCTTGGGGCCATCTTGGGCCATCTTGGCCCGTCTTGGGGCCTGTTGGAGGCTTCTCGGGCCGTCTTGGGCTGTCTTGGGGGCCTCTTGGGCCGTCTTGGAGCGTTGGGAAGCTGAAAAGGCGAGAAACGTCGCACATGCGTCGCACATGCGTCGCACATGCGAACAAAAATACTTGTTCCAAAGGGAATGGGGCGATTTTTGCTTGTTGTGGCCCTCTTGGAGAGCCTCTTGAGGCTCTCGTGGGGCTTTTTCGCGGCGTCTGCTGCCGTCTGGAGGCTATCTTGGGCGTTTTGGACCGATCGGTCGGCGACTCGGGGTCCTCTTGGACAGTCTTGGGGACTCTTGGGGCCCTCTAGGAGCGCTCTGTGGCGCCTGAAAGCCGCGCCCAGAAGGAAAAACCATCTCTGAGTCGGACAGCCCTGGGTACTTTTCGTCCAGGGGTCCCCAGGGGCCGCCACGCGCGCGCAAATTAACAAAAAGCGTTAACCTGTTACCAGAGATCTTAGCACGCCTCTGGCCCGTTGGGCCGGCGAATTCGAACATCGCGCTCTCGCGCGGGACTTCCTCATAATTCATGCAGGAATCGCACTCTCGCGTGGGACGTCTTCGCAAATCATTCAAACGCCGCGC